GACCCCTCTCCGCCTGACCCCTCTCCGCCTGACCCCTCTCCGCCTGCAGGCTTTTGCAGGTGTACAGCGCGAGGGCCGTTGCCCCCCCAGCCATGCCCGTGGACCTGGCCGTGCGGCTCTGCCTGAGCCACTCGCCCCCCATCCGCAAGCTGCTGAACTCCTACGAGGAGCTGCGGGGCAGCCGGGGGCGCAGGCCCCTCCGGTCCTGTCTCAACCAGAAGCTGAGTGCGGAACCCGAGCTGGAGCGGCGAGATAGCACCAAGAGCTCCAAGGGCCAGAAGAAGAAGAGAGTCGTGTTTGCTGACATGAAAGGGCTCTCGCTGACGGCTGTCCGCTTCTTCTCAAAGATTGAGGAGGACCTCTGCGACTTGCAGCACGCCCTGTCCGACCTTGCCTGCTTCCGACCTCGGCTGCGGGACTCACGCCCACAAGTGTGCAGGTATGTGCTGGACTTCCCACAGCCCTCTGCGGACTACATGGCTTTCCGCAGCCGCCTGCACAGCAACCACGTCTGCCTGGAGAGCTGCCTGATCCAGGACCGTGCCCTGTCAGGAACAGTGAAGGTCAGAAACATCGAGTATGAGAAGAAAGTGACGGTCCGCATCACCTTCGATGGCTGGAAGAGCTTCCGGGACGTCTCCTGCCAGTACATGCACAGCACCTACGGCTCAGCCGACACAGACACCTTCTCTTTTGAGCTTGCCCTGCCCAAGCCATCCGTCTCCTGCAGGGCCACAGAGTTCTGCATCTCCTTCCAGTGTGGACAGAAGACCCACTGGGACAACAACCACGGGAAGAACTACAAGATCTGCCACGTGGGCGCAATCCGCCCTCCCTCCCATGCCGTGAAGAGTGCCAATGGGGCCTCGGAGCATCTTGGCACCTCTCGGGCTGCCACCCTGGTCTTTTCTCACCTGCAGACCTGGCGGCGCTCAGAGGCCCAGGGTCCTTATTGGTAGGAGGGCAGTGCGGGGAGAGGTGTAGGTCCCTGCTGCGTCCCGACCATGGAGTCTTTGGAGAGGGGTCAGCTGCAGAAGGTGCTGCTCACAGTTGTGTTAGCTCCTC